ACAAAGCAGTTTATCAGGGAACATCCTACTGCATGCAGTATACATATATATGTGTCTACAGCGCATACAAGATAGGTAAGACAACTAATTACTCTCACCACCAGAAACTGGTCTGATAAAAGATATTACCTCACCCACCTTATCGCTCTAATAGCATCGGACCAACTGAATGACACACTCTACATATAAAGTACAGTCATGCTGATAGGCAACTGACCAATACAAATGTAAACAGAAACATTTAACTTAAGTTTCGCTCAAAACTTACATGTATAAATTACCTTTATAAAACTTAAGGTCTGCATAAGTGCCACTACAATTTTTGAGAGGGGGGTGGAATTTCAATTCAAATAGATTTTAAGATAGATTTCCCCTCACCTCCCAGAAAACCCAATATGTACAAACTGACAAGAAGAATGAAACTAAATCTTAAAAAACAAAACAGCATAAGAGATGTGCGGATTTTATTAGCTATTTAATAATCTAAAGCATTACCAATGAAAGTGGAGACTCATATTTAATTACAGCATGTTATTAAGCCAGCCTTTTAATGATCACTTTACTGTTCCAGAAAATGACCAGGATCACCCTGAAATACCAGGTGAACAAGATAAGCTCTTTTATTGGACCACCTTCTGTTGAGAGGCAAGCTTTCCAGCTGACACAGCTCTTCTTCAGCTCCCCGCTGAAAGGCAGCTTTGTGTGCACTAGAAGTTTGTTTCTCACACCAAGGGAAGTAAGAAAAGATATTACTTCATCCACATCGTCTCTTATTCTGGGACCAGCCTGGCTGTACCTGGTCACAACATAACAACAGCGGCTGCGAGGGGGGGGCTTTTCCTGCAGAAAGAACCCCTCACACCCACCGCAGGGATCATACATTCGCCTCCAGCCCCCTCCTCTCCTCCCCACACACAACTCAACACTGTTCGCAGGATGGGAAAACTCTTCCTCCCCCACCCCCCGCCGCACCACGGCGATCTGCGCGAGGCTCCGCTCCCTGTCGTCAGCGGCTAAGCGTCCCAAAGAGCGGGCGGCGGGAGGGGATGTCACCAGAGCCCAGGGCTGCTGGGCCTGAAGAGCTGCCCGCTGCCAGCAACTCCCCTCCCTACCCCCGAACGTCAGAGCCCAGGCAGCGGGGCTGAAGCCGCCCCGAGCGCGCGGCGCCGCACTGGCCAAGGCAGAGGGGGGAGGGAGATACGCGCAGTGACCAAGCAATAGCAACAGCCTCCCCGCTAACAAGCCCCACCCTTCCTGATAGCCCCGCCCCACCACGTTACCCAGCCCCAGGCGCCGGCCAACCCCTCCTCTAATCACATGGCATGGGAGTGACTGAAGTTCTTGTGCAGCCTGCCCTTGGGGCAAATGGGGACAGAGAGGCACGTCCGGGTCTCACTTCCCAACCACGGGAGAAACAGCCCAGGCAGGGGAGACTTTGCTGCAGAAAAGCAGCCCCCTTGCGACGTGGGGCTAGTTCTCCATCCTAGGCTTGCAGAGGAAATTTGTTTGGGCCCAGTGACAAGGCCCCGTTTCTTTTCCCTTGCAAAAGCAGCCTTGAAGTAAGACAGATAGGCTGTGTCTAGACTGGTCAGTTTTTCCAGAAAATCAGCAGCTTTTCTCGAAAAACTTGCCAGCTGTCTACCCTGGCCGCTTGAATTTCTGCAAAAGCACGGACTTCCTACTGTAAGAAATCAGTGCTTTTTGCAGAAATACTATGCTGCTCCCATGCGGGCAAAAGTCCTTTTGCACAAAAGGGCCAGTGTAGACAGCCCAGATTTGTTTTCCGCAAAAAAGCCCCAATCGCGAAAATAGAGATGGGGGCCTTTTTTGTGGAAAAGCACATCTAAATTGGCACGGACACTTTTCCACAAAAAGTGGGCTTTTGCGGAAAAGCGTCCGTGCCAATCTAGACGCTCTGTGCCAAAAATGATTTTAATGGAAAACTTCTCCGTTAAAAGCATTTATGAAAAATCACGCCAGTCTAGATGTAGCCATAGGCTATTGCACCCCTTGGCAAAAACAAAAAGCAACACCGCTTCATCCAGCAGCCAGTGACACCTTCGTTTTCTTCACCTCCTTCAGAAAATGAGAGTGGATTTTTGTAAAAAGAAGTGAACCCAGTACTGAAAATTCCCTCACCTGTCCTTTTAGGTTAAGTCCTGGTTTGTTTTTCTAAAGCTGAATAAAAAGGCAGTGCATTCTAAGCTGCTTATAGTTAGCACATGTTCACAGGAATGTAAAAGTTTTAAGTGCTGTAGTTTTTCCCTTCATACACACAGCTGTGCTATTCCTTTACCAGACACCTCCCCTCCCCCACCAAAAAACCCCACATTAAACAAAGCAGAGCTGTATTTGTATGTTTCAGCACTAGGGCTGTGCACACCAATAAGCCTCACCATTAATGGGTGACAATTACCAGTTCCCGTTAACCTATGGGGCAAGAGGAGCTCCCCACCTGCCACAGGCAGAAGACTGCTCCAGCCTCTGTCCATGGTGGCAGACCCACCCTTGCTGCAGACAAGGGCAGCTTTGACAGGCAAGCAGGCCAGACCAACCCTTATCTATGACTGTAGGACTTGAGCAGCTCTGCTGCCCTTCCTTTAATTACTTGTTAAAACAATGTTTAACTAGTTAGCTAGTGAAACGGGATTTTAAAATCTCTATTCAGCACACAGTGGAGAAAAATCCTACAGCTGTTTTTTGTACATATTTGTAACTGAAGTGCTCTTAACATTAGGGGATGTTAATTTTAAAGAGTATTAGCCCTGAATCAGAAATTGTTACATGGTTAACCCACAGCTCCTGGCAGCCCTATGAAGAGTAACTGGTGCTGGTAACTGATACGCTGATGCCTATCAGTTAGCCAGTTACATAAGACTGCTAAGATTTGTTTACACTCAATTGGGATGTAACTTAAGTCAAAAGGCATCACAAATCTTGACTGATGTCCTATACTTACAAAATGAAAGAGGGCCATATGGTTGAGGCAGGTAACATTCCCACCTCCCATTAGGCTAGAATGTTAGTCATCAGCTGCACATAGCAGTACACATTTGAGTTTCAAATCTGGGACTGAAAAGGACTAGATGACCTCGAAGTCTAGGCCCCTGCACTCACACCAGGACTAAAAATATTAAGTCTCGCCCTAAGTTGGAGAGATGGTAAGAACATTTCAAAGGTATTATGAGCCCAGGCACAAGCACTACAATATGAGAAAATTGATTTCTCAGTTTGGTCTAGGGTTTATCAAAGTTACACTAGTGTCCTGATATCCCTTTGTGCTAGACTGCTTAAATACACACACACAAAAAAAATCAGCAAAATCCCAGCCTAACTCAAATTAGTGACAAAAACCCCACAGGCCCGTGTTTCCTCAAACTGGGTTTCAACACCCTTTGAATGTGGCTGCCAGGACAGGCTTAGAGTGCTCGGTTCCAGGACTGAAGCCAAAGCTCAAAGGCTCAAGTCATAGGTAGGGTTACCATATTTTAAACTTTAAAAGAAAAAGGACACAGTAACTGACCATGGACCCCCCCCGCGCCCCTGGTAATCTGCCCTGAGCTCCACCCCTCAGGGAGGGGAGTCCCAGAGCAGGCCTCAGCCCCCAGCGAGCAGGGCCTGGCAACCCCTCATCTGTACTGTGGGGCCAGGTGCAGGGCAATGCTGTTGGACTGGTGCTGGCCCAGCCACATGCTGAGCCACTCCAAGTGGCCCTGAGTTGCTAGCACAGGCACTGTGGTTCACTCAATGAGCAGGGTAAAATATCTAAAATGTCTGGGATTTTGAACAGCCAGCTGGATGGAGATTTAAAGACCAAAAAGGAGGACAAGTCCAGGAAAAACTGGATGTATGGTAACCCAGCATAGGTTCCCTGCCTTTGAGCTTTAGATCTCTGCCCATAGTGGTGGAGCTTCAGGGTAGTGAAGGTGGAGAATCCCTGCCACAGACAGTTGGGATGAGGGTTTCATCCAGTGATTCTGCCTAGAAGATAGAGTCCAAGAATAGGTCTAACCTGTACACCTCTGCCAGTAATAAGTATGTTGATCAGGTGTGTGAAGAGTGATTCTGGACAGATATACATGCTAGCAGAAGGCTCTAATGTAGATGCAGCTACACCCATCCTTGCTGAAGCATATTTACCAGTATAAGCTCTTTCACTATACCCGTTGCAGGTATAAAATACATATGCATCCAAATTAGGATTTATTTGGTGGTGTAACATTCAGCATTTCAATGGTGGTGAAGTGCTTCTGGTATTGCCAAAGCAGTCATACCTTGACGAGCATTCGCTGGTCCTAAAAACACCACAGATGGCAAGAAGGGAGGTACTACCAATTTCGAACTGACCTGAACTGAAGAACCATATCAGAAGTCTGATGTTAAGCAGAAGCCATGTTTGGCTCCTCTTATACAATCTATTCTTGAACATATTGGCCTCCCTTCTATATTATCACTATTTAATTGCTTGCAATATGCAAAAGTATCCCCTTCTTGCTACTATTTCCAGACCATCATTATTCTGGCTAATGGATACCTTTTAAAAAACATTTTCAGAGAAGTTCATTTTCCAGTAAATGAGAAATTGCACACAACAATACAGGGGATGATAGGTTTCTGAAAGGGAGACATGATATAAAAAAAATCAGAGTCCCTAGCAGCCCTTAAGACGACTTCTACATGAATAAAATGACAGTAAAATGCTTCTTTGTGAAAAGAACTGATTTAAGAATCAAAGATGTGCCCCTGCAATGTTTGCTTGCAGAGTCCAACTGAAGTCAATAAAGTCTGTCCACATAGATCTTTTTGCAATAACCAGACATTTAAGAGCATTTGTTTTCAGGTACCTCAGTCACATCTAATCAAAACTCATCTCAATGGTTCTTCTGAAGGAGTATCATATACCAAATACTAAGTCTTATAACAAAGAAATATTCCTAAAATTGCTCACTATTTTAACAGCAATCCATGAAACATGGAACACAAAGACGACCTAGATGAACAAGAGTTTTTAAATGTATTTATTATACCAGTAATTCCATACTATAAGTGGCAATAATCAGTGAACAGATGTCATTACATACTGGCATAATGAAAATTCAGACCAGTTCAGGATTACTGCACATTTCAGTCCAGTATGAATGAAGGCTATTTCTCTCTCCATTCTTTTGGAGTGACTTTGCCAACTGGTGATAAATTCCACTCAATTCCAGTTTGTGTTACTACCTGTAATAGATTAAAGTTATAAAAGAACAAGTTAGTGATATTTCAAGGCCAGAAGAGACCACTGTTATCGTCTAATTCAGGGATTGTCAAACTGAGTCCTGTCCAGTATTCCCTCTAAACTGCCTGGCAGCACAGCTGATTAATCAGTCCAGTGCAGTCAGAGGCTCAGGGCTCCTTGCATGGAGCTGACTGACTAGGTGGGGCTGATTAAACTGCGGGACAGCACAGCTTTGCAGGTGATTAGAGGGAACACTGTTCATAACCCCAAGGCTGGCTTGGACTTAGTGGGACCTGAGCCCTCACCCCAAAAGCCAGAGCCCAATGAGTCAGGTTACAAGCCTCATGAATGTGACTGAAGCGCTTAATTTCAGCTTTGTCCTTCCCTCTCGTCCTGGGACAGCAAGGCTGGGATTTTGACTCCCCACTCCCACCCCTGGACAAGCTCCGTCTCCTGTCCTGAAGTCATGTAGTAATTTGTTGGGAGAAGGGGGGTCACAGTTCAGTGAAGTCTGAGAAACCGTAATTTTGACTGATCTCTTCTGTAACATGCTACAGAGTTTCCTCAAAATAATCCTGATTACATCTTTTATAGAAAAATCCAATCTTAATTTTAAGAAAGTGTTTAGTGATGGAGAATCAACCACAGCTAAGGCCGCATGTCTTTTACAGAGGTGACAGAAGTCCAAAGTTCACAGAAGTCAGGATTCTGTGACCTCTGATTTATGCAGCCACCCAAACACATAATATTTAGTTAGAGGTATTTTTAATAAGAGTCATGGATAGGTCACCAGCTGTGACTTGTGTTATAGCCTGTGACCTGTCCATGACTTTTACTAAAGATACCTGTGACTAAATCATAGCCTTAATGAGGATCTTTGGTAGGTTGTTCCAGTGGCTAATTACTCTCCTGTTAAAGTCTTTTTTCCTTATTTCCAGTTTAAGGAAGTCTAGTTTTAATTCCCAGCTATTGACCCACTTTATTTCTTGCTTTGTTAGATTGAAGAGATCATTAGTTAGAAGCCCTCAATACTATACAGAGTGATAGTGAATGCATATTAGGGATCTCCTTTTAAAATGACACTTTTATAGTCTGCAACCTATGCAACTATTCAAAGAAAAAAGGTTAAAAAGAAAAGTTGAGGCATCACAGTCTATAAATATTTTTACAATCAGATTTGACATTTATCCTTTACACTGATTCCATTGGTATTAACATGAATACTGTTTTACAATTTTCATGACAAGTTTTAAAAGTAACTCTTCATATCCATACTTGTCTGTTTTAACAAATTCTAAGTTAAGACTTGTCACATACTGTATTAGAAAACTATTTTAAAAAATGGTTACTGATGATGCTGTTGTCCCCTGAATTTTGTAGTACAATATCTAGGTCTTCTAGCACAGCCACATAGCATTTTCACCAACATAAGAAAAATTGAGTTTAATAGTTTACTCATCCAACTATGTAACAATTATTTCCAAAATAGACAAAGTGTGCTTCGCTTATACTTAATCAAGCTGAAACTGGCAGTTAAATTTACATTTAAAGTAAGTGCCTGTTGGAGACTTAAGTAGGACTAATGAACTACTTCCTTTTGGGCTATTAATGCCTGCAAAAAAAAAAAAATCACTCTTTCAGGAATCCCCAAAGTCCTGACGAAGTTACTTCATGTATGCAAATCTTTATGAAGGAAGGTGTGTAACAACTTGCAAATTCAAGACACTAGATGCAATTAATGATGGTACTAATACTTACATATCCCCAAATGGACACACAAAATAAGGTTCCACCAAGTAGTACCATGTTGCCATATTTATCATGGAAGTCAGGCACGTGTTTGTGGTGACTCTGTCTTGCTGCGATCCATTGAATACTACGAGCTAAGAGAAATGGTCAATATACAAGATGTACTAAAAACAAACGCACACTTACTCAAGTTGCTATTAGTCCTCCTATCCACCCCCTAAAAGATGGGCTTCGCAACACTAATAAGGATGTTCTTCATTGCAACTTAAAACTACGCATAAGACTTTATAACATGTGCAGCTTTGCAAAGCTGCACAATTGCTGAAATCGAGAGAGAATCCCTTTTAGACAAATCCAGCCATGAGATTTGATAACATTTTATTCTATTTGGTTGTTGAGCTACTTTAAAAATCTCATTAAAAGATAACTATAAAATACATCCGCAGAAATAAAAGTGTTCATTCAAAATTAGAAACTTAAGTGCTATTATTGGTACAATTAATTCCTCAGGTGTTAAAATATATAATCTACGGCCAGGGCATACATAGAATACATACCTGGAGCCTGCTTACCTTAAGCCCAGTTTGACCTCATCACCACTGTGGGAAGCTCCCATCAGCTTCCATTACTCCTTGTGATTGCAAGGACTACAGACACCAGCTGGAGCTGCCCACAGCATTTGATTTACTGGTCTATCTATACTAACCCCGCTAAATTGAACACCAGAACATCAATCTCAGGTGTGGCAAGTGAAGATGTGCCCTATGAAGTCACTAATGCACACATTATCTTTCACTAAGAACTGAAGTTACCCAAGTATTTCCAGCAGGAGCAAAGAAGCCAACTGAAACACTAGCAAACAAACAATGTCTCTCCCCCTCCCCCAAATCAGGAAGACTCTTACACTGTGTAAACTATGTTAATTGAAATATTAATCCCATGATCTGAAAAAAGTTATATAGACTCACTCTTGTAAGATTAAATTAGGTAAAATCAAGCCCACACAAGTAGCTTCAAGTAGTTATTCACAAATAAGACACTCTCCCCCTCACATTAAGCCTTTTTTTTTTTTTTACTTCCACTTCAAAAAAAAAAAAAAAAAAACACAAAACACTTAGCTGGAATGCTTTTTTCACAAACATTTGTGTGTTCCCGCATAAAAGAATCCTAAAACAGCACCCATAAATCTACAGACTTCCAGTATGTCACATCCACTCTTCCTAGGAAATTGAAAACCTAATAGCAATACCATCCATATGAGCAGACCCCTGTGTCCATGCAGTTTTAGCGAACAGGGGCTTAATAATTCTTGTGATTTTAGCACAAGGTATCACAGGGGTGAGCAACAATTTTTGCCTGGGAGCCACTTCAAAATTTTTTGAAGTAGCCTTGGGCCACCCCAGAAGGGGTGGGGCCTAAATGGGAAGGCCTGATGCAAAGACAATTATTGCCCCCCCTTCCCACTAGGTACCCATGCCATGGAAGAGGCCTGGCATGCTCCCCCACCCCCAGGCCAATTGGGGGCACATGAAGCCTCCTCCTGCCCTGCGAGGAGCATGTGGAACTTTGAAGCACCATGTGCTGCTCACAGGGTGGAGGGAAAAGTAGAGGAGGCTTTGCATACTTCTCCACCCCCAGGCCAATCAGGGCCTGGGGAGCGGTTTGAAGTTTCCTTTGCCCTACCCAACCCTGCGAGGATCCCACAGCACAGGCTCCTCGCAGGGCAAGAGGAAGCTTCCCATGCTCCACCACCCTGATTGGCCTGGGGGTGGGAGAGCATGCCAAGCCTCTTCCAGGGCCTGGGTACCTAGTGGGAAGAAGGGAGGGGAGGAGGGCACCACATCGTCTTTGCGTCCGGTAGCCCCACCCTTCCCGTTTAGGCCCCACCCCTTTTGCATTAGCCCAGGGCTACTTCAAAAATTTTTGAAGTGACCCCTAGGCAAAAATTGTTGCCCACCCCCTGTTTTACACACACAATTCTCTTACAATTCTAGCAATGAAGGCAACCAAGAAAGCTTGAAAATGAAATCCGAGTTAATTCTATGAAAGCTCATATGCCCAGAAGAGAAAGGAAACCCAGAGTTGTTATTCTAAAAAAGGTCTGGCTTTTTAAGCCGCTGTTACAATGTGTTGAGACCTAACTTGTGTTTTTAAACACCCAGGGTTGGCAACAGCGCTGTGGTGTGAGGGCACGCTCAAGGCCTACCTGTGAACAAGCTGTAACAGGCGGGGGTGACAAAGAGGAGACACAGGGGGGTGGGAGCAGGAAGCTGAGTGGCCTCAGGTCAGGCAATTTCTTAGGGCTATGCCCCGAGCGCTCTGGCCAGGACACAGCCTGGAACTTGTGTTTTTAAACACCCAGGGTTGGCAACAGCGCTGTGGTGTGAGGGCACGCTCAAGGCCTACCTGTGAACAAGCTGTAACAGGCGGGGGTGACAAAGAGGAGACACAGGGGGGTGGGAGCAGGAAGCTGAGTGGCCTCAGGTCAGGCAATTTCTTAGGGCTATGCCCCGAGCGCTCTGGCCAGGACACAGCCTGGCGGGCT